TTTTGATTCTTAATCGAGGATAAATGTAGATGTCTATGGGCCATAGCATCCACTTACCATCAGGTGGACTGTGTGCTCGTTTGTGACCTTTATTCTATAAAAAAATATTATAACCTATTAATACTTAAAATACGTAGTTGTCTCGGGGTGTCAGTATTTTTTTACTATTATTTAAAAGTATATGGATGACCGAGTTTTTCTCGGTATTTTTTTTGAACTCGTGTGTTTTGAAAATTATATTTAGATACAAATTACATACTGATGAAGTATGAATAATATTTTTTGATCTTAGCGACAAAATAGAAAAAACTGTAAAAAATCATGTGTGCAATTAGTTCAATTTAAATTTTCGTAAAAATAAAATAAATAAAACGCGATAAAATCCGAAAAAGTAGTTTTAATCAATGTGTACTGTTCGCAGAAATCATGAAATTTTCGTGTTTTAAAAAATCATAAAAAAAGGACTCGAAATAATAGATTTTCTCAAAAAAAGAAGGGAACTTGAGAAAAAACGAAAAAAACTCGGACCGGAGACAGGACTCGAACCAGGGTACTACGACTTCGAGACCGCCTGATATAAAAAAATAGAAAACAACAAAATAACATTTGAGCTATTATAATCATTAATACGCTGCCAAAATTTACCTTCTCATTCTAACGCATTTGTAGCAGTTTTTCTTTGCCTGAAAACACAGATAAAATGACATTTTCTAAAAATGAATCCTAGCTAGATCAATTTATTGCCCCGAAACGCCCAAGACACTAAATTTTATGAAATTCGTTGGAGCCGTTTCCAAAATTCCTACTATATATATATACAAGAGTTGCTCTTTTAAAGGTATTAGATTAGATTAACCAAATAAATAACGAGAGATTATTAAAACGTTTGCGGAGCCAATAATGATCAGTTAGAATTGATCGAGATAGGCGACTGGAAGGAGCCGACAGGGTGCAAGGAGTCAATTAAAAACTTTTTGATCGGATCAAGGTGATCACGAGTTAATTACTAGTTGAGAAATGGATTACTTTTCTCGTCCCTTTTTCCCCTTGCGTATTTAACGTCGCCTGAAATTTCAAGAACTAAGTTACCTATTTAAGTGAATAAGTTCAAATCTATGCATATAGAATTGAAGTGTTGGTCTGTAACATCGAAATAACGAGCCTTTTATTAAGCTAACGGATATAGTTTTACAGACTGTTGTCTGTCTATCTATTAGCGTGTAGTGGGTGTGTAAGGATATCCACTACCCTATATCGAAAGAAAGAAAGAAAGAAAGAAATGCATTTTATTCCAGTTTAAGCGCGCAGCACAACAAGTAAAAAGTAATTAAATGCAAAAAGATATATAAAACTAAATTAAAAGTAATTTAACAACATTATATTTTTTTATATAGGATAGGGTGACAAACGAGCACACAGTCCACCTGATGGTAAGCGGTTGCTGTGGTCCATAAACATTTATCTATCATCGATTACGAATCAAAGTGAGATGTTTTAATGAGGAAATGGTTTATAGTTTTTTTTAATTTTATTTAAGAAAAAACATTTAAAAATACACTGTGCTGCAGCATGGAACTGCGAAACGGACCACACTCAGTGATAGCAGGGGTTTTCAGTGCAGCTCTAACACAGAGGCATCTCGAGCGGCTGAGAGCACGTTGGCGCTTAATGTCCAAAAATTTATATGAAAAAAATAATAAAAAAGATATATAAAAATATCTTCCGTAGGTGTCGTAAGAGGCGTCAGTGGGAAACAAATCAGGAGGTGGACAGTAGCAACTTCTTATTAACCCGCTTGCCGATTTTGACAACTATGGCAAATATAAAATACTAGTTTAATGCTGCTGTGGCAAATATAAAATACTAGCTTAATGCTGCTGTGACAAAATGATCTATGACAAAATCCTATCCTATATAAATATATTATCCCACTATGAAGCAATCTATGGTGAAGGCGGATGTTCTGCACTGTTTTATATTATATATACACTGGATGATTTTTTTACGATCTGGAAAAAATAGGTAATGTAACAGGTGAACGGAATAGAAACCAATGGCACTGATATTTTACATTTTTTTTTTATTCTACATTAACATATTATGAAATTGATCTAACAATAAAAACTTCTACAGTATAAGCATCGATGCATAACTTATATCAACACACAGGGCGTTGCAGAGAAGTATGTCGTTAGAAGAACGAGGTTCATGGTCAAGACTTGAATATCGGAAGTTGGAGTTATTTTTAAGATAAGAAGAAGTCGAATCATATGATATAAATACAGGCAGAAAAAAAGGTTAGTAGGATTCTGGAGCAACGCCTCTGATGAATAGAAAGCCATTTTACGTGCGTGGTAGAGTCATGCTACAGCTATATTTCTGGTATAGTTGTAGCACGTATACCAGCGTGAAATAGCAGCGTAATGCTACTGTGTTTCATATGGCGCGGGTAGAGAACCGGAGACTTATTTTGCTAGAAAAGAGGTATTTTATCTCAGTCCTCACGAGTGACTACGCATAGGATAGATGTAGAGATGTCTATGGGCCACAGCAACCACTAACCATCAGGTGAACCGTGTGCTCATTTGTCGCCCTTCTCCTATAAAAAAATTAAAGCTTGGGATGAAAAGCAGTGATGTGGTCATACTGTCGTAAATTAAAGATAAATCTAATACAGTCGTTGAGAAGCCGTTTCAACTTGTTGAGAAAATTTTGCGATAGGTCTGGATAGCACACATCTGCATGGTCTATAATAGAAAGTAAATTAATTGTATGAAATTCGTAACTCCTAATGTCAAACATGTTAATACGAATGTAATTTTAAATGGGGAAGAACTGAGTCTTGTTGATACCACCATTTTTCTTGGAATCACACTGGACGCAAAGCTTCAATGGCTCCCCCATATATCAAAACTAGCTAGCAGACTTAGTTCTGCAGCATATGCTATAAAAAAGATTAGAACTCTTACCAGTGTTGAAACAGCAAGAATAGTTTACTTTAGTTATTTCCATAGCATTATGCCGTATGGTATTTTGCTAACTGATACTGAAATTATATTTATTTTACAGAAGAGAGCCATTAGAGCAATATATAATTTTAAACCAAAAGAGTCACTGAGACAAAAATTTAAGGAAATTAATATATTAACTCTGGCCTCTCAATATATTTATGAAAATGTAACGTACGTACACAAGAATAAACGTAGTTTTGCAAAAATAAGTGATATTCATTCTGTAAATACTAGGAACAGACACAAGCTAGTAGTACCAGTTACTCGACTCCACCGAGGCAGTAATTCATTCTTGGGGCGATGTATATGCTTTTACAACCAAATCCCAGAAAATATACAAAATTTGTCATACGCAAAGTTCAAAAATTTTATTAAACTAAGTTTGTGTAAAAAGGGTTATTATAATATTAAGGAATTTATGGATGATAATAATCCCTGGGAAGGGTGATCGCTACCAAGCTATTTCTAATTTGTCTTGTGTTGTTAATTGTAAACATGATTGTAAGCTATTATTTGAAAAAAAAAATAGTCCCGCTGGGTTTCTTGCTGGTTCTTCCCAGGACAGAGGTTTTTTGCGAACCAGTGGTAAATGAAAAAAATTGACTTTCAATAAGTATTGTTTATAATCTATATTGAATAAAAAAGTTTCTGTTTCTGTTTCAAAAGTTTCGGACAAGAAATTCTCAGTAACAGTTCGGAGTCAAATGCATTCTGCAAAAAGGGTTTAGTTAGCGGCTCTAGCTATAGATTATTATGCAAAACATATATTATGTTGCTAATTTACGATAGTATTCTGCGAGTACGTGGGCCTTACCTTTACGCACGACCATTTGTGCTATAATCATTATACGGCTACAGCGTAATAAAGCTGTAACCACATAGAAATATACAAAGATCTTGTAACTATTATGCAGTTTGGGAACCGTATTCTTTTTATTCAATTCCTTTGTCGGGAAAATTAAAAAACCCGAAAGTCGTTTACAATATACAGAATCTTTCTAATTCAGTTTTTAATGGGATATCTTTAATTTTTGTAAAAAAACCTTTCTTTTATTCGTCTAAATAAATACATGACCTTCGACGTTTTTCTTGCATTCCCTTCCCTGTTCTTTCTGGGTGCCAGTTTTATAATAAGCGAGTCGGCAAATCAATCACTAAGTGATAAAAATGGGACTGTTCAAATCATTATAACTCAAAAAATATACGTATTAGTAGAATACTATATTTCCTATAATATAAGAAATGCATAATTTCAATGTGCAGGGAAGCAAGAAAGTGGATTAAAATTGTAAATATACCTACTGCTGCGCGTCGTCCTTTTCTTATCCGAACTTGAGTGTAATTAAATAACTAACGCGAGAATAGATACTAAAAGTATCTTTAATCATTAATAAAGCCAATCTCAACGCAGACTAGCCACCTGCGTCGGACATGTTATAGTGCCCAAGTGTATTCGCGGGCACAGCTCACTCTCATAGTCCCGTGTAACGGTAATTCGACAGGACCGAAGAGAAGTCAGGTCGGCTTTACGTTTTTTCCGAGGCACGGGGTTGAAAACACTGCCATCTTCCTGACTCCGGACTGCTTCTGAGAATTTCTTGACAGAAGAACCCAATAAATGTATTTTGCCGGACACGGATTTCGAACAAAGAACCTCATCATGAGCAATCACGTTTACAAATAATGGCCCAACGAGACAGTAATTATTACAAGATAATAGACAATTATTATAACCTCGCGCGCAATTTATAGCTTCTGAGAGTATTCTGAAGCTGTAGTCGTAGTCGATATTTGAAACTATCGAGAAGTTATTATGATATCTGATACTTGATTATGGGAACTAGATAACAGATACAAGACGAGACGAGTTACGTGATTTTTCTGCTCACATGATTATAAGTTGTATTGCTATCTGATTCCGTTTGCTTGGATCAGTTGGATCATACACCGCGCGATCACCGACAGTGGTGGACGTGTGAGAGGACAAAGATGTGTGTTTTTCGCTCCATTATCATTGTTGCGGTTTTAACGAGTGTTAATTGTAATTGGGGACCTTTCCAAGCGGTTTTGTACTCTGATTATATCACTTGTGAGTATGTTAAGTGTAATAGTGTTTAATTTACAATAGATTGTGTTGGACTTAGATCTGTGTTGTTTTCATGCGTATAACATCACGCTAGTAGTTTGTATAGAAATTTAGAAAGACATTTTAATTGTGAAAAAATATATACAGTTTCATATGAAATCAATTAAGAACTGTTTTAGATTGAGTTTAAAAGTAACCACTTCGGTGACTTTACCGATGGACTATAATAATAATAAAGTGAAAGAGAAACTAAAATCTTGACTTACTATACTTGTACTATATATTTTTTTAAACACGTCAACAACATAACCTTCTTAAGCGAAACGTGTATGCTTTATTATACTAGGTTCATTACCTAGTATAATAAAGCATACATGTTTCGCTTGCTCAATGTCAATAACTTTCGTATTTTCCTCTTTAAAGGAATTCCCCTGCAGTTTATTAAGTAATAGGTACAATGTATTTATTATGATAATAATAGAAACATTATAAAATCGTTAATGGCGTTGTAAGAATATCCACTACCCTATATCATCCCGTGGTTGTCTAAGAGGCGACAGAGGGGAACCACCAGGATATGGGCAGCCGCGTTACCGAATAACAACTAAAAATATGGGGGACCCTTATTTTCGGCAGCAGACTTATGATAGACTATAACGATATCAAAATCACCAAATTATTTAATCATAGAATTGGGAGTTTATTCACGAAAATCTGTTATGTTGGAATAAACTTGATAATGGTTTCGATTATGTTTGTTAGGAGTTGTGGACCAAGTGATTAATCAGGGCACTATTTATAATTCCCGGGCAACATGAACAACGACAAATCGAATCGGGCTACGTAATTAATACTAATTTAAACTTCATTATTTATCACATCATCTGGTCATAAACTAATCTAACCTATCATTTATTACTCAGCCCAATGATTAACGGACTTTATTTATAAAACCCGGTCATTCTAATTATTTATATATACATATAGTTTATATCATATTGCTTACTCGGGCTTACTCATTCTGAGCATTTTCAAAATTGTCTAGATATTATGAATAATGCTCTAACCATTAGGCCCAAAACATATACACTATAAATGTAAACAACATATTCTTTTTGAACGATAAGCGATAACTATTGACCTATTGAAGTAAACACCTAGATACTTTTATGTTTATAAACATCTAAATAATTTTAAATGTAGATCAATAATTTAGTTTGTAATTTGATTCAATAAAAAAATGCAAAGTTCAATTAATCAAAAGACTTTGTTTTCTTGCAATAATAATATTAATTTGTAATCGTTGTCCAGTGGTTCGAACCTCTATCAACACAGAAGGACAAAGGCCTCATGTTGTGACTGGCCCAACGTGACCTCATCGAGTGTTTGACGTTTTATTCTCTTATTAAATATTTTCAACCTTATGTGCATTTAATAGAATTTGTTTTAAAACACTGCTGCATATTTAAAATGTGCATACTAATGTTCCATCTATTTAACATTTTTTTACAACGCAAGTGCAAAAAAATTGCTAAATATTTTTGGTAGAAGTTTAATGTTTTTTATTTCATTGTAGGTTATATTCTAGTTATATAAACATTGTATTTTGCGTAATCTATTAAATGTATAACTATTATATATTCTAAATACGTGTAGTGCAACATAGTTATTAGAAAATTTGATTATAATAGTCTATATACCTACAAAAATTATAATAAATTACTGCCCTTACATTGACCAGCATTAAAAATAAAAAATAAAAGCTTATTCAAGTATGAATTGTAGCAATCTGTACTGTATCATATTAATAGGGAAAAAGTAAATAAGAAAATCAGACTAAAAAAGACAGACGGAGTACTGCGGACATTTCAAATTTTCAAGTGACGCAAAAACAACGATCAGATTTTCTTCGTTCTTTCTTTACGCGATCGTAGAACCTCACTTTTGGACGAACAATGTGTACATAAAACCATATTGTCACTTGCAAATGATCTCATAATAATATATATGATAAAATGGCTCCCGCATTGGCAACCGCAGTTTTTATTTTTTATTTTAGTTATTAGGTAAACATGTTGTAGTTTGTTTTCCTCTGTCGCCTTTACGACACCTACGGGACGATATGGGGTAGTGGATATTTTTCTATACACATGCGTGGAAAATCAAGATAATGTCAATATTGAATAGATTATACAAGTTGGTTGTTGCCTAGTTTCAGCGTCATTTAAAATGTACACAGGGCTCTTTCGTTGTTTTAAAAAAAAAACCTTTTTTTAATTTAGGGACTTACGTTATTTTAAACATGTCAGTCCCATTGTACTTTATAACTAAATAACACAATCCAATTTATTAAATTACTTATACGAAATACTAACTAAATGATACACCATTTGAGCAGCATTTGACAGTGGTTCAGAGGGAATGCTTTGATATTCACCTATGTTACATACATATTTTGATGTCAATTTTGGCGACTAATAGTTTCCTTTCGTGATGGTTTTTGGAACATTCCGTGAGAAAATGTTGTATATCTTCTATTGTCTTTTGATTTTTAATTGTTTTTTGACCTGAGAACAAACATTAAATATAGTATGAATACAATTATTGTAATTTTAAACGAACTATAAAAGTAAAATATCAGAACTTGATGCAAATAAATTTTATAGGCTTTTAGAACTAACACGTAAATCACGCGTCACTAACGCCCTATTACGTGGTTATTGCAATACATAATGAGCTGTAACAGTATGGTACTACTTTTACGATTTTGCTTGACAAAATTTATTCAAATCAAACCATAATTTTTTTGGTGATTTATTCGTGCTTTAATATTGTTAATAGGTGATAGATATTAAATGCATTAAATATTAATAAATGTCTTTTTGCATCAAACAGGTAATCACAATAAAACATTCGAGTTCGATGTCAGCGAAACAGTTGTGTACTTTTATGATTTCAAAAACAATTTCAACGCCAGTTTTAAGATAGACAAAGCATCCAATGGTTTAACAGATTTTTATAATTTGGACGTCACAAGGAAACTTATATTCTTCGTTCCTGGATACAAATCTCACATTTATAAGAATACAGAGGAAACCATACGGCAGACGTTTAAAGATGTTCCCAATACATATCTTATTATAATAGACCATTCAGCGTACACATCTGTTAAAGGCAGCGGGCGAAAAGACACCTACGAGAGGTCAGTGATGTATGCTTATTCATTAGGAAAAGCATTGGGAAAATTGCTAGTGGATATCCACGGTAAAGGATATCCATCAAGTAAGATCCATTGTATTGGCCACAGCTTGGGAGCACAGATGCTTGGCTATGCTGGAACAACATATATAAATAAAACATCGGAGAAAATTTGGAGGATCACGGGTATCGACCCAGCGGGACCCTGCTTTTCTAACAGTTTCATCGAAGATCAGATCAGATCCGGTGTGGCTGAGTACGTTGAAGTGTACCATTGCAATGCTGGAGGTCTAGGAACAACCGCTGTTCTGGCCGATATAGATATCTTTCTTAACAAAGGCAGAAAACAGCCAGATTGCCACGAAGGTTACATACCAGCTTACGGGGAGTCACAGGCTGCTAAATGTAGTCATAAAGCATGCGTGAAATACTGGGCAGAGACTGTGCACCATCCTGGTTGGTATTTAGCATGGGCCTGCGATTCGTATAAAGATTTCTCTAAAGGCAAATGCGCTGGAAACGAAGTAACAATTGCTGGTTACTCCAATCCGGGGAATGCGACCGGAGTGTTTTATGTATCCACTGATGCTTATGAGACTAATTAATATAGTTTTTATTTATAAATATTGCTTTTATTTCAAAAGTACTAAAATAACCAGTATAACTATGACGAACTTACTAATATAACTATTTTATTATAGGAAACCTGTACATAAGGTGCAAGATTTTTAAGAAGTTACGAAAAAGTAGTCTTCTGGTCAACGGATTAGTAAGCTGAAGTGGCAATGGGCCGGCCATATAGCTCGAAGAACCGACAAACTATGGGGAAAAAAGGTTCTCGAGTGGCAGCATCGTGCCGGTAGGCGAAGTGCAGGCTGACCCTTTACTAGATGGAGTGACGACCTGGTAAGACATGCAGGAAGTTTATGGATACAGATAGCTCAGGATTGTGCTTTGTGGCATTCCTCGGGGGAGGCCTATGTTCAGCAGTGAACTTGTGAAGGGCTGTAAGAATGACGATGATGATGACAAAAGAGTAGTAGGTTTTTAATTCTAATAACTAATTAATTATTCTAAGATATAATTTGTCATAGCACCGACTTCAGAAGCTACTAAATTATGTGGAAATTATTTTATTCTTTTTAGTTTTTTAAAGTCGATTTTTACTTTTTTTATACTTTAATGTTTAATTACTGCGACCATTTAACAAGTTCCCTTGTAATCCAACTCGTATCTTCCAATAAAAGAAATACATTTTGCCACGTCTTTAATAACTTGCTTTCATGTACGTCTGTTCGGGTTGAATTTAGTAATTGATTTTTAACTAACTTTCCGATAAGCTGTAGAATTAAAATTTTGAACATATCTCAGAATTCGGATGTGGTTGGAATATGATAAAAATGTAAATAAAATAGATTAAAAAAGAATTTTATAGTTTTTAGTTCGTTTTAAAAACGTGGTATATTAAAAAATATGTATAAATTTGTTTATAGGTCAATTATGTTTAGTTAGAAAGGACGATTTTCTATAAAAACCACACTTGATCGGCAGATCTGAGATTGTCGAAGCAGACATCTCGCTGTTTTGATACTGCTCTGTCCTATCTGGATATGCCCTATCTAAATATTTTGCATATGTTATATACTGGATGGCAGGACCACACTAAAATCAGAGAATCCATGTGTAGCAAGTCAACTTTCACAGGATAATAATAAAGAAGAAGAGGATGTACTGCATAGTTATATCGCTATCTATCAGATCCTTTGTATGGTAGAGGCTTATTGATAACTATCGACTGTTACTATCAGTTCTAGGAGTACTAGGAGCTTAATTACAGTAAATATATATTTTATCTAAACTGAAATGATACTACAAACGTGTAGTGGCTGCGAAATCATGAATATCCACTGTCATATATCGGAAGAGGCAACGATGAGAAACACGGAGCTCTGCAGCAGCGTCTTTTTAATAAATAATAACCAAAAAAACTAATAGTAACGTGGCAACTATGGCAAATATCCTCTCAATAACGCGCTCAATATTTTTTACGTGGTAAAGCCACGCTGCAGCTATTACTATAGTTGTAGCATGAATGGGTCGGCTAGAAGGCAGGACCAGGCTCTCACAGGATACCAGCGTGAAATAGCAGCGTAATGCTGCTGTGTTTCGTATGGTGAGTGTAGAGAACCGGAGACCCTTTTTTTACTGGAAACAAGGTATTTCATGTTAGTCCTGAGGGTTGACAGTGCATTTGATTCTTAATTGAGGGTAAATGTGGATGTCTATGGGCCACAGCATCCACTTACCATCAGTTGGACTCTGTGCTCGTTTGTCACCCTTATTCTATAAAAAAATATCAGAATAGACTACAGAAGCATATAACACAAGCACAGTCCACTTGATGGTAAGTGGATGCTTGCGGCCCATAGATACCTAAATCTATTCCTTATCAATAATCATTCAAATGCATGCAACGAGTTCAAAAAATTTATTTAATTTGCTGTCGGATTCTAAAGAGAACATTTTTATTGTAACGTTAACGTTACTGCCTATGAAAGTCAGACATCATAGACAGGCACAAAGAATACCAGCGTTAAATAGCAGCTTGCTATTTAACGCTGGTATTCTGTGAGAGCGCGGTCTTTCCCCGGTCAAGCTGGCCCATTCGTGCCACATCCACAATACAGTTGCAGCATGGCTCTACCACGTATACAATGTGGTGATATATTCTTCGTAGTCTATGTCGTAAACATGGAATAATCCATAGTTTTCCACTGTTTTCAAAAAGTGAATTTCTTTGGAGTTACTAAATTATATAAACGTAGATAATCTGAACTTTACAAAATCATTCACCCCTTAATAATAATAAGTAATCATTCATTTGTCCGGAACTGCTTAATTTAATTAATTTCGAGATTTCATTAGTCAATTTTATTTGTGTAATCCGCGTATTTTTATCCTTGATATTTACAGAAATAGTGCGTTTTTTTTAAATCCGGTCGTTAAAATGTGTCAGAATCACAAAAAAGCTATTACTCTAAACGTCGAGATTTTGTCGAGCCATGACATTGGAACGCAGATCTGCACATTTTCTATTCGAACATCTTACAATTGAAAATATCTATAATTCATAATTTCCACGAATATCTGTGAAATTTGTGCTTCTTTTACATGGTCATATTTTGAAAAAAATAAAATTGTAGCTGCTGTCGTATTTAGTTTTTGTGTCCACTCTTTCAGATTATAGACTACTTAAGGTAATATAGTAACAGTAACATTGCCAAGTATTGTCTGCAATCAGTTTGTTTGTCTTACTAATAAAATAGAAATAAGCAGTAGTCTCATATAAAAATCGGATTCAATTATAATTTAAGTTAGTTTAAAAAGTTTTTAATAATTTATTTATTAACATAATTTTGGTATTTGTAGAAATAGCATAAATGAGTTCATGTATCGTACATCAGCAGTATCGTGTGTACATAAGTTTGAGATTTAGAGATAGACATAAAATAGGTACCTAATTTTAAAAATAATATTCTCCTTACATCCTACGCAACATCTTCTAAATATGCCTATTTTTTAGGCTCAGTATTATATACATTAAAAAGGAATTAGCATTCTTGTTATTAAGCAGCTATTCAGTAACATTTCATTCAGGCGTTAAAAATAAATTGGTACATTGAGTTAAAAATAAATTGGTACATAGTAATATGTACTACGTACTATATTACATTATACTTCAATGGTATTACTTTTCTTTTTAAAGGGGAGTTATTTTCCATGTAATCATGGAAAATATCTACCCGTTACCGTTACTACGTTGTTAATCTAGCTATAAACAATCCCTATGTTTGGTAAAAGGGAAGATCATTAATTGAGTTGTTATTGGGAACATACGTAAGTAATTCGAAGCAGATATTGATTGGACGCCGGTTGTAATTGGTATTACAAGCAATATATTAACTTAAATATTAAGTGAGTAAACACATAAATAACTTTACACGATGCAAACATTTTTTGTGTTCGCATTTTTTGCCTATGATTCCGTATTTTATCTACCACTAGCACCCTCTTGCCTATGTCTGCAGCCAAACTAAAATCCTTGCGCTGCTGTGTTCCAGTCCGAAGGGTATCGAAGCCAGTATAATTATAGGTTGTGAGGCATTCCATCTTAGCGCTTAGAGGTAGCAACGCATCTGTAGCCTTCTTTGTTTGAAGTTGGTGGTAGGTATCAGTGAAATGCAAGTAGCCACTTACCATCAGGTAAAAAGTAAATTCGTAAGTCACTTCGGTTTTATAAAAATTGCAGCAAACGGTTAACGGCGTAAAAACTCTCACATCCGGCAACATGGGGCAACATCAACAGTGCGAGGGTATCGGCTTTGCATACACTAGCGGTCTAGTCTAGTATAGTCTAACTAGTCTGCCCTTCGGCGTAAGAGTGGGAACTCTTTAAAAAAATGCGTGATTACTGGCGTATTTCACAAATTTCATTGCTATATATGTAATAACATATACAGCAATGAATTCAAGTAAACTGAAACTCCAAGTATTCAGCCTTCTTACTCGGTCTACTATTTTGGCCTTTTTAAACAACGGTTTAAACATACTCATTTCTACATACATATATAGATATTGCGTCACGCACAAGCTAACAAATTTTTTTGAAGAAATAGAAAATTTACGACGAATAATTCAATCAGTTTGAGCTGATAAGTTTAAAAACAAAATTGCGAAACCCATATGCAATTATTTCGAAATTATTAAAACACAAATATTAAGATCTGGGTGTTATTCCAGCTTTGTTATTAGATGCAATTAATTGTTTTTATTTGAGATTAGCTGTTTCCCGCGATTTCGTCCGCGTGGAATTTATTGCGATGGATTTCATAGATTTTTTTTTCGCGGAACATTAATTCTTTTTCTTCTTCTTTATAAAATCAGCTATCTGCCAGTGAAAGTCCCGTTTAAATCGGTCCAGCGGTTTTGCAAATTAGCCGGAACAAACAATAGACAGAGAAGACGGATAAATAGACAGACAAAATTTTAAAAATGTTATTTTGTTATAAGTATATACCGTATAAACTTTCATATGCATTAAGTAAACATCTTTTATTTTGATGTTACATATACAGGCACTTCAATTTTATTTACTTGTATGGACGTATTGACTTTACCTACCTAGTTTTATCTGCAATATTATTTATTTATTAATTTACTCTTTATTGTACACCAAAATACAAAATATCGAGTACAATTCAATCTAAAGTAGAATATGTATAAAAGGCGGTCTTATCACTTTGAAAGTGATTTCTTCCATTATTTCGATTAATATGATTTCAACAAAACATTTTTAAATTGTGTGCATTTTTACAAAACTTAAACAACTTTAAAAATCATAACTGTAGTGGAAGTTACTATTCATTTAATCTACTTTAATCAAGTTAAATAATATGTAAACAGTGATCGTGTTTGAATTGATCGAGGTCAACAAAGTTAAGCTCAAGAATAAGTAATAAAACATGTTACTAATTAATTAAGTTACCGTTGCTGTTATGTTAAGGATTGCTAATTTTAGTCGAGGTTCTTGTCGGGCTTTTTGTAC